ATCATTCTAATATGCGGATTTGGTGCTCAAGAAACATTTCTTATTTATATCAATGTTGAAAACAGCTGCCCTGCTAAAACCGTGAATTTTATTTATTTTGATTTTTTTTTTGTATTATTTCTGATGTATAGAAAGAGTTCAAATTAACAGCATTTATTTGAAATATAAATCTTTTGAAACATAAATGTCTTCACTGTCACTTTCAATCAATTTCAATCATTTTTTCTTGCTGAATAAAAGCATTAATATTAAAAAAAGACTTTTAAATAGTATGTGTGTGCATATATGTCATTACGTACCCACTCATGAAGTCTCCAAATATGTACATGCCATTTAAATTGGGATTTTCACAGCCTCTGTAAACATATCCACCTGTGACAGATTTACCCATTTTGTGTGGATATGCGTAAATTGGAAGAACATCATCTAGAAGTAAAAAAGTACATAACATAATAGTACGTAAAAGACTTCATGGGTTGAAAAAGATACTTACTTATCCATCCATCCAATCACAATTAATTACATTTATTCCAAACATTAAGAATTTGAAGGACTGACTTTGGGAGTAACTGTATTCCCACCTAAAGAGCTGTTGGCACAGAGTTTTTTGTCGTAACAAGAGAAGCCCTCTTTTGCTCTCCAGCCATAATTCTGGCCCTTCTCCACAATGTCTACTTCTTCATACTTATTCTGGCCCACGTCCCCACAAAAGATTCGTCCTTTTCCTTCCTTGGTTATCGGATCTCCTCTGTCTACCGAGCACCTCCACATGTTCCTCACCCCATAGGCAAACACCTCCGGACGAGCATTGGGTTCATGCAGAAACGGATTGTCTGGTGGGATTCTATACAGTGGCCCCCTTTCATTGTCATCTACATCAATGCGCAGAACCTTTCCCAAAAGGGCAGATCTAGCAGTAACATCAAGATAAGAGAAGAACAATTATTATAGGCAATCTGTCCTTCTTGCACCAAACTGAATTTAGCTTCTTGTACAATATCAGAGTTGAGTTCCAGACTAATCATCTTAACTTGTTCTGTGCA